CTACACGATTTTTCACGTGGGGATCGAACGTGTTCGCATAATCTGAGAGAGGATATCCCGACATGTTGAAAAATGTGAACACCAACATGGCGACTCAACTTTCCCGCGAAAAATGTGACGTCATGTGAAAACGCTCTATATAATTAGGTACATATTAGGTATATAATTGCACAATCAATTGAGTATAAATAATGATTATTGCTTAATGTATTACTTTTTTATTGCTTAATGTATTACTTTTTTATTGCTTAATGTATTACTTTTTATATTCCTTTTTCCCTCCTGAAAATCTCAAAATTAAATATAGCATGCTAGCTTTTAATAAATATTTTCCTCGTGAAATCATGTGGTAGTGACCATCTCAAAAGCCATTGCTGCTATGGTCAGTACACACTTTCCCTTTCCTACAATGTGTAGAACTCTATTTTTCTCCTTTTATTTTATCTCACTTGTGGTCAATGATATAAATAGTGCAAAATTAAGATGATGATGATGATGGTGAGGTATGCTATACATACAATGTTTTCACGGTGAAATATACTTCCTTGCATTCAGACCGTTATGATTACAATTTCATAATATATCTCTTTAACACGTGCATCAATTGGTATGTACTTATCACCCTTGGGAAAGAGGGACTCCTTAAGTAAAAGGGACTGGGGTGCTCATTGTACCTTTTAGGGGTTAAAAAAGGTGGGTTTGGTACCTCTTAGGCTGTCCAGCCTCAAAAGGTCCACAGTAGCAGCTTCTGTGATAACTTTCAGGGCATTGCATCAAAATATGTGAGTGCTTTGTTGTAGAATTGGTGTCTCGCAGGGGTGAAAAAAGAATTTCATGCCACGCCCACAAACCAGGACCTTGGTACCTCCTTAGTATTTCTTTTTAGAACCACTTCGCACCACGAATGGTCAACACTCATAACAGCACGTCTCCCTGTAGCCCGACTTACGATCTAGGATCGTCTTGTTACCTAACAACTGGCTCCCACTACGAATTCATTTCTACTTCATTTAATCGAATGAACGTCACAGCCAGGACTGGCCAAGGCCTCCCACTGAATTCTATGTCTCTGGCCGTGCGGCATTCTAGAATCAAATTTCTTCAAATCATTTTCAACAAAGTTACAGTCTCCCTTTTTCTTGCTTAGATGGACTAGAAATTTTTTTTGCATGTACTTTATTTGTCCAAAAACTGGGTATGGTGAAAGGATTATTGAGTTGTATCGTACTTGTTCTTTTGCTTAACCTTCCAATAAACATCGCTTTCCTGCGATGTAATAGGGTGTGTATTCGCAGGCGGCGTTTAGTCGTAATATACTTCCATCCGCGGTGTTCAATCAAGCAAATACAGTAACCAAGGCTGTTTGCTGTTAGAAAACAGACCTAACTGTACACTAAGGATATCAAGCAGAAGATTATAGAACAAGGCAGTGAAAGGACAGTTTTGCACTCGAATTTTTTGGAGACATTTGTAACGGCAGTAATATTTGCGCAAAAACGTGGAGATAAAGGAGTTAGACCCTGAAATGTTTAAGTGAAGATACTTTTACGTTACATGATCATGCACTCCTTTTTCTTTTTGGGGTGGCCTGCTGCTTGCGAACTATGGTTACTCCCTGAAGATCCAGATGGTTTTTCATGAGAAGCACTCGATTCCGAATTGAAACGATGTGAGAGCAATTCATCTCGCAAATCTCTCAGCAATCGGCTCGGAGAAAATGCTTCGTCGAGATTACTTGTATTTGTCGGGTTTCCATTGGCTGATGAGCTGCTACTTTCGCTTGCTTCATTTGCTTTACAGGATGTGATGTGTTGTTGCTTTGGAAATTCTTGGTGGTTGGTTTGAGCAGATGTAGCCCTGGGTACAAGGGTTGCTCCAGATGTTGTTTGGGACACAGTTTGCTTATCATTACTCACTAAAGATCCATTCGACCAAGAGGTAGTGGCAGACTACTATTACTGGTGGAAGGCTTCTTCAAAATCCCACGAGGGTACGTTTGAGAGGTTGGAAATACTGGCATGGTAGTTGATGGTGGTTGCTGCGAGGATGCTTGGGAAACTGTAGAATGACCACCACGACCGGTAGATCCATTAGCGTTGGGAGCGGTGCCTAGATTCCTTGAGAAGGGTGTTGCATCGGTGCTGGCAATACTTGATCTGGATGCGGGGAGAGCTAAATAGCTAGTACTACTACTAGCAAGTAGACTTGGCCTTGATACTGTGTTGAAGTTATCGTGGGTGGTTTGAAAGCTTGAACGATTCGGCTGGGGTCTTGTGGTATTTCGAGTGGATGTTTTCGGCTGTGCAGATACATCATGAGCTGAATAGCTACTTCTGTTGTCGGCAGGTAGGCTCAGTTTAGATATTGCGCTGGGGATATTATAGGAAGTTTGAGTACTTAAAGGTTTCGGCTGGGGCCTTGCTACCATATTTCTAGTGGGTGCTTTAGGCTGTGTAGATACAGCGGAAACTGAATAGCTGCTATTGTTGCCGGTAGGTAGGCTCGGTTTAGATACTGTGCTGAGGCTACTAAGAGAGGTTTGAATACTTAAAGGTTTCGGCTGGAGTCTTGCTGTCGAATTTCTAGTGGGTAATTTCTGCGGAGCAGAGGAATATTGGATTATGTACTCTGGGTAGAACTGATCGGTGTCAAAGACCACGAAGATTGTTGGATTGGACTTGTTATCTACACAAGAGTCGTACAAATCGCTGGCGGGATCTAATGGTTGCTTCGGCGGTGGTCTCCGATAACTGGAATGACCCTCTGTATATGAGCCAACGAGAACTTTGGTCAAGAACATGAATTGAGACATATTGCCATCTCTCTTTGCGTAGGAATGGCTGTAAGATGCATTGACTGCAAAATAGCTTCCTTCACCATACTTGGAAGCGTTTCTTCCGTGTAGACGCCAATCAAAGTTTTGTTTGCAGATGGCCTCCACCGAGTCTGGACTGGTTCCGTGAAACAGGTTCTTCTCATCGACAGCCTGGCGATTTCTTCTAGCTATTAACCTCATATTCTGTTTCTTCCTAACAAGAGGAAACAAAAGGACTTATTGTGGGTGAGAAAAGTTAATGACCAATGGCCAACAGGCCCAATAAGTATTTGTGAAATTCTATTAAATTGCATCTCAAGTGTCCACGCTATATTTCATTTCCCTATATATAATTATATAAATTTAGTATAATTTCAGAGCTGAGCAAAGAGTTTCCAGCAATCTGATTGGTCGAGCGGTTCCTTATATGACGCTATATAAACCGCTCCACGCGGTTTATATAAAATGTTGAAATAAAATGTTAATAAATGTTAATAAAATGTTATGATTTTATAAATTTCTCTGTTGTTCAGCTCTGAAATTATACTAAAACAATTATTCGCCTCAGGTTCAGTGAATATTGTCGAATAATCCCCTCGACTTCGTCTCGGGGATTATTCGACGATATTCACCTCGCCTTCGGCGAATAATTGTTACATATAAACTTCTATATTTATACCTCGTGCAAGGTTATGGTCAAATGACTCTCCACTTTCATTTCATACCTTTTAAATGATTTTTTTCTGAGTTATTTTTTCTTTCTTACCTGCAATACTTCTCCCACATGAAAGGGTTCTGTACACGCTCGATCCTTTCGATTGAAATGTAGTCGTTAATCGACTTTCGGAACAATTGTTCCACTTCTTTATATTCCTCCGATGATGTCGCTAACATGACGCGAATATACTGCCCACTGGGTGGCATGGAAGACCAATGGTTTGGAACGTCATATCTTGCTGTTCTGTTTTCTATCTTTCTCCTTCTAGAGGAATCCCCGTAAGCCCTACAAAAAATGGTAGAGCGGGAAAAAACTTGTAACTGAAAACATTATGAAACATGATCCCCACTCCTTTCATTCCCATTTTTACACCCCATACGCTGCGTCAGGTTCCACTCGATCCCTCAATTGTGAGATAATCAAGTGTTCCATGCAAAATTCTTGAGACTGAGCTAGTCACAAAGTTTACATTTCGCTGTGTGTGTTATTGCAGAACGGAAAGAAGAGAAGGAGGGGAAAGTAAACAAGGGTTTGGATTTCTGCACACTGACAACGATAAAACCACAATACATACATACCATATCAAGTCCTCAATGTCCTCATTTGTTAAAGCTTTTTCGGGTCGTCTCTTAACCGCCCTCTTGGTTCCAAGTTTCAGATTTATTTGATGCATATCAGTTGTTGAATGAAAAATTAAGTTGTATTCGTGCTCTGAGGTTTTAAACCTGTAATTGAGGCGGCCGTCAAGAAAGGCTTGCTCAATATGGCCCTGCAGAATGATGAGTATAACACATTTAAGTTTATCATAGAATTTTATTTTCTCTACAGTTTAAATAAAGCAAGTAGGGAATTTCTACAAGCTTACCGAATTATCTTCATTGTACCTGCGCCAAACATTGCCATTGTCTTTCCAGTACCATGTCCAGTTCGTAACCATGGCACCACAAGGAAAAGTTAATCGAGGCATGGTAGATATCCGCCTTAATGCTCCGGCGAATTCGCGACGTGGTGGTGATCTTTCCAAAATGGTCATAGTCATATCATTTACGTCAATCTTGACTTCATATCCATTGACAAGGACTCTAAAATTTCTGTTAAAAAATAAATTATATTCACGAGATTAGTTTTCAAGAGGCTTTACTTAACTCAAAAAATATCTCATCTTTGCATTACCATGTCAATTCACGTTTTTGAGAAATAATTTCAAGGAGTGTCATGTATTGCTTATCTCAGATGGCTAAATCTTCCGTCTTTGTGCAAGTTTCTCATGATATCCAAAACTTCCACTGATGGCCATGCTTGACTATTTACCAATCATAAGTCTCAAAAACGAATGTTCAAGCAGCGCCATTTTCAGAGTAGGATTTCATATTTTCGTAGTAAAAAGCACTTTTAATTCAACTATCACTGAAATAGTGGTGTGTATACTAAATCGATTTACAGGCTCAGGCACAGTGAAATTGGAAGCCACTAGTTAACTTTACCACGATGAATAATTTTTTGAGCTATCGCTTTGACCAGCAACTCCATAATTAAAGAAAACCAGTTTGTGTGTAACCACATTTACTTGCCTTTGGAGAGAAGAGAGGTCAAGAGATTGTGCTGGATTGAAATTAACTGGCGCCTCGACATTCACGTCGCAATAGAACTTCTCCAGCGCAAAGCTGTCCGTATCAACAAAGCTTTTCCATTCATCGGACTGAAACACTTTGTACTGCCAGTGGTATGGCTTATATAAGTGATGCTGTGGGCATCTCGTGCCTACTTGACATTCGTCAATAAGAAATCCTGAGCAGATGTAAGCACCTGGCTTGTCCTTGTGTATGTGTCCTTCAAACGTAATGACGATCAAAACATATTGCTCCGTATGAATATAATGAACATGAAAAACCTTCAAACTACAGTAACTATAAATCTCTAAGACACATTTTAAATCACTAGTGATCTTGTAGTATAATTGGCTCCTAGCGTTGCGATGTATTCATAAATCGCACTAGTTTTGCTCAAAATCGCATTTTTTTTAAGTCAATAAGAATGCAACGTTTAAGATTTCAAGGCCTTTCTATCTGACCAGTCAGTCTGCAGAAAAATGAGGGGATGCATCTATTTAGTAATTTAACTTCGCGTCGTGATATCTTAGTCTGAAATAATAGTAAATTGTTGTGATTTGGGATGGCGTGTATTATAACAGACCAAATTTCACTTCACTCAGTTCAATTACCCTTATTTACTGTATAGGCACGCTAAACCCGAGTGAATCAAGATGGTTTGCATGAAAAAACTCGAAGTAACAATCGTTTTCCTGGCTTGGGTAATTTTCAAGTTTTGTAAAACCTATGCTTAAAAGCTGATTGCAGATAAGGTGGAAACGACCGCGTAAAACAACTAGACCCATAACTTTTTCAGTGTCATCAAAGACTCTTCAGAAAATTTGCATGCACCCAAAACCTCATACTGCGAATGCGAAAACATTGTAATTTTGTCTTGATTTCCTGGGTCACTGTTGAAGTGTATAAAGACAAGATACCTAAGGAAAGGAAAGAGTTAAAACAGATACTTACCCTTTGCTTTCTCTCTGCCTGAAAGACAAAGTTTATCATCAAGAATCATCGTTTTTGCTTCATGCTTGCCGACGTTGTGTAGCAAATAACGCTCAAGAACTGCCTGAGTGTGGTGAGTGTCCATGGCTTCCGCATGATCCAAGCCGCATTCTTTCATATCACTGCAACATTTCCTGATATGACCACAACACATGTGAATCCTGTTGCAATTATCACCACGATTGCAAATGCCATTGTTGTATTCGACACAAATCCGAGGTGTTGAGGACAGTACAAGCTGTTGGAGCTGCTGGTCGGTAAACTGGTCAAGCTTGATTCTGATCAGAAAGGCCTCGTCTCTCTGATTGTGAAAGTGGTGATTTAGCGGACATGTTACACCATTGCTACAAGAGTCAATGAGGAAATCTCTACAAATATGCAGACATGAGCACTCACATCTGTGGCATCTTCCATTCTCATTGTAAGTCACACAAATGCGAGCTTTTGCGGAGAAAGCCCTGACTTCTGCAATCGTTCCTTGGCTACCTCTGGTAATCAAGAAGCTTCCCTGCTTCGCTTCACGAAACCATCGTTCGGCGCTCTCTGCTCCATTAGGGAATAAATCCTTCCGACCTGCAATATTTTGGAAAGAAGCCGATGAGCCATGTTCTTTACACAGACATTCGAAAACTCTCCATTCGGTTGGAAAACAAGGGGTCCAGGGAACCGAAGGCTTAAATCCAGAAACCCTTTGAGCTTGTGAGGACTGTAACGAAGTCTGTGATCTTGCCGGATCAGAACTGACAACAGCTATGGGCTTGATGCGTTTCTGTTCATTTACCCTCAATACATTACATCGAACAAAATCAATGTTAATTACTTTACTGGATGGTACCAAGTCATATTTCTCGAGAATCGTGAAGTTATGAAAGTCTTGTAAATCATGTGACAAGACACAATTTGAATGCGACGATTCTTGAATAAACTGGGCACAAACATGAACATAAGGACATTCGCTCCATGCACATTCATTTCTTTGATACAACTCACAAACCTGTGGCAAGCTCCAAGACACAATTTTCTTCATTGCGCCGTTTGAATATTTATCTTCAGGAAGGTTATGGTTTTCCGCTATTTCCCAGTTATCGTCGCTGTAAAAATCATGCGAAAGCTTACAAAATTCGTTACATTTCCCTTCCAAGAAGGTTTTACAAATGTGCCAGTATTTGCAGTTGCCTTTCTTACGTCCTCGAAAGCGACAGACCCCTTTTGTCGCATATCTGTAACAAACTTTCTTTCGCAAATGAACTCGTACACCAGTGATTTCGCCATTTTGGTCTAAGACACAGGCGAAACCAGCCTGAGGTCCTTGACGACTTTCCAACCATTTCTTGGCTGACTCTTGGCTTTTTCTGCTTCCTAAAGGCGACGATGGCTTTAAAATAACAGCTAAGTCGACAAAACCCCCGCTACTGCAAATGAAGTTAAAGAGTTTAGTTTGCAAAACGTGATCATCTGCCATTTTGTCAACTAATGTCTCGAAGATAATTACGTGTCCCGGAAACGAAACTGGGTAGTGCATTTCTCAGAATTTCCCAGTCTCCTTCCTAAGTGGGGTATACAGGGGAAACAGTTCTTCACTATTTATATTTATATGAAATTCATCTTAAGAAGATCGTGCAATTTCCCGTCTGTGAATTCTTACACAGCGAAACCGAAATGACTAAAAACTTAGGCGGAAGATTAATTCAAGAAACATTAACTGTTCATTTCGATCTGTTCGTGAATTCATCACTTTAGATAAACTGCTGCGTTACTGAAGCTTTCATTCTAGTATGACCTCTCCCAGACTAATTTACATTTTGTGTCAAAACGAGTAACGCAACTTCAAAGATCAAAACTATGTATCTTGCCCGATGTTCGAATTTTAAACAAAATGTTCGACGCTTTTCGACACACGAAACAGAATTTTGGTCTTCATTTAATGTCCCACCTCATCAAATGGAAGCAAACGCCGCAGAATGGTTATGTGAAAGGTGTTTTGTTTGTCGTGGCGAGTGAAACGAAGCATGAAATTAATGCACTACAGTGTGAATGTGATTTAAATTAGCAGATGTACAGTAAATTTCTGCCGTGATCAAATTTGTGACCGACAGGATTTCGGAAATGGCTTCCATCGTTGAAAAATCGCCTTGAAAATCTAAGGAGTTCATCAACGCTCGAATATACAGAGAGTGTTAATCCCAAGGAGGTTAGAATTCTTAAATCAAAGCAGCAGCAAAACATACTGGACTAAAACTGTTGAATCATGGATAACAAAACGACTTCTCGACAGAAACCCGCATTGTCCTACAAGAATCTTCCACATGCGATGATTAATTCATTCCACCGGCTGCGAACAGGCATACAGCGCTTTATAGGAGCCGTTACTGCGGTGATTTCATCGGTGGTCAACTTCTTCGTTAGAATTTTCGAAGGAATTTCCACCGCATATACTCAAGTAGCCATACTGATTTTGTCCATGGTCGACTGGGTTCGACAGATGTGTTATTATGACTACAAACAGTTCATGTGGTGGGTCACAACTTTACCCAAGCATTATTACACAAAACTTAAAGAGGAAACCAGGAAAAATATCTGCATACCGATTTCCCAAGCGTTTTCAAGGAAAGCAACTCGTGTCTCTAGAGCTTTCAAAGCAAAACTGCGAGACAGCGAGGTATATGTAAGGGGCTTTTGCGAGCTCTGTCGACGGCTGTTTCTTCTCGCAAGCGATTACACTCCGGGTGGAAAGTATACAGTCACAGCGATCCTTGCAATCATCGCCATTATCTTCTTTCTTAAAATTCTAACTGTTATCCGATATTTATTTCAACTTCTGGAGCTCACTTACAGTATTGCTGCATTCCTCTTACACCCCTTGATGCTTACACTACGCGACGTATTGTTATTGTTTGACCCCTTATTTCAGATTCTAATCTCCCTCCTGCGCATTGTTATCTACGCAGTTTTTGCCATCTTTAAAGCAGTCGGAATTTTTTTCTGGCTAAACCTTGTCTCCATTACATCAGGTCTTTACAGGTGTTGGCAAATATTTGTTAATTCTACAATAGTCAAAGCGATATGGAGTTTTTTAGCAAGAGTCCTTTACGCCTTCTTGGAGTATTTCATCTTCGTAATTGTGCCCATTTTGTCAAAGGCAACATACTACTTTGCGGAATTTTCGTTCGACATATCCTCAATTGGTTACACATGGTGTTATCCGTTGCTTATTCGCGGATTTTTGGAAGAAGAAGTACAAGGTAAACAAATTGAATATTTGACACCAACTGGCGTTGGAAGCTGTGTGTTCATTTTCCTGACCTTTTTGATCGCCTACAGATATCGCAATCGGCTCACTGGTACTTTTCTCTCAGAAATTGATGGCAAGCAATGTGTCATACGATCATCAGATGCATCGAAAGTAGATCGGAACAAAAGGGTTAATCAACGGGAAAAGAGATCTACCAATCGGAATACGGCAAGTTACGACAGCTTACGAAAAAAGATATCGAATGACGAGTTGAGCCTTCGCAATCGTGGGAAAGCGAAAAAGGATGACTCAACGGAACGTGCGTCTGAGAATGCAACAGAAGGTGAGGAAAACTTGATTACAACCTTCTCAGGAAGGTTGTCCGAGGGGGTGACCGGGCAAGGGAGTGGGGAGGGGTGCCCTCTCAGTAAAACGTCGGTTCAGGACAAATGCAAAAGGAAATTTTACCTTCCCCTTCAAAATCAAGTCATAGAGCTCCCTCTACTAACTATGATCAAGTCAGTGATTGCAAATATATTGCATTGATCAGTTCGGCATTACTAATAAAAATAATAATTCTCTTGGTGAGTCCCATGTAGCCCGACACGAATTCACCTCGCTGGACATATTTTAGGGAACACAACGTTTTTGGCCAAGTTGGCAATTTTGCGTGTCATTTTTCTACATACTTTACATAATCTCTGCTGGATACTCAAACGCTCGAGAGTGTCTCAACAGCAATTACTATTGATTATTTCCTTTGGCTTTCGACGAAAGCTTGCTGGTTATATTTTCCAGAGCACATCCACTACAGTTCGCAGGTCCACATATGCATCGATTACATATCCGGGACATGTGAAAAAGGAAGCAAGTGTGACGGCCACCACTGCTCCCTCCCCTATCACTGGCAATATCGCATGTCCCTAGAGGGGTGGAAAAGTTTCAGTGAAAGAGACAACAGGAAGATAGAAGAGTTCTTTTGTGATCCCGCGATCGACACCACTACTTCAACAGAGATAGACATGGTGGTGAAATCTTACAGGGAAACGTAAGTTTTAATAGGTGTGTTCGTGGGCTGCATTTAACATCATGCAAAACCATCTGACCTCCACATTGTGTGTACAAAGCAATCTAACCTATCAAATTGATGAAACAACTTTGCGGGAAAACAGTATGTTCGTTTTCCACCAAACCTGCTTTGCCAACAGCAATTTTCATGGGTATGTCAAAATTAATTCGTTATTGCATTGGGTTTGCTTTACCTCGCTCTGTGATTGGTTCAGAAAACTCGAACCACTTTCTCAACCAATCAAATACAAAACTTAAACCAATCGCGACTTGGTCGCCCGCGTTTTCTCGCGCTTAAGGCAGTTCGGTTGGTTTTGCTTTTAAGTCCTCATTGGCTTATAAAAGGTATTTTCCTCATTGGGCGTTGTTGTTAATTAGGTTTTGGGTTTACGAGACTCAATATAAAAACGCTTTCACTCTCGGGAAACGTAGAGCTAGCTACCTACAATCTCCTTTGCAGCCGTCGTTTGGTCTCGTCACGCAACGCGGGAGAGATGGCGCGATAAGTCAAAAACAGTCAGCGATGTATCGACAATTTTGACATAACTGTATACCTCATGTGATTTAAGTATGCCTTTCTTGTTGCAATATGTAAATATAGATCGCAAATCAAAGACGCCGTAAAACTAGACTTTGAAAGCATGAAGATACAAAAAAGTTATCACAGAGCAGACCTGAGAAGACTAACTACAGAGTCACGCATCAAACAACAAGGCTACTGTCTGGCCACTCATTGGCTCTGGTATAGAAAAGAGGAGAGCGGCGACTGGGTCAAATATGGAGAAGAGGTATGTTCAGAAGAGGGAAAAAAACTTAGCTTTGGTAATGTTAGGAGTCGCCTCAGTTTGGTGATAGATACAAATCCACTTTCGCCAGGTTTCGGCGTGTGAGCCAGGAAGACTGGGTCCATAACACGAATTTGAGAGTCACTTAAACACTTCCTGAGAAAATCACGTGAAAAAACATTTCTTCTAGATGTTTTTGTTGTTGTTGTTTTGTTGTTTTTTTCCCAAAGTCCAACTAGAAAACTGATGAATTTTCTGTTCCGAGTAAATTTAAAGTTTTCTGTCTCATCTTCGAACGTATCGAGGCTCCCGATAAAGTGAACAATTCGAGTTGACCCTTTCATAAATGTTGTTATACCTCTCGGCTCGACTCAACACAAAAATGTTGTGACCAGGACACGTTTCGACATTCAAGCTTATAAAGGTCGAGATTTTCTTCTGTTTCAGAACAATTCAGATGCCAAGCAAGATGATCTTGAGATTACTTTTCTTCGAAAAGACAGAAATTACAATTTCACCAGAAATGGACAAGAATTTTGTTTACAGTTCTTCATGAATCCTATGTGTGAAAAATCGTTCAGGCCATACTCCAAGAAGATCGTTCGGCGTCGGCCAGACTTCCGATCTCCTGATGACATCCGAAGGTTAACTAAAGGGTATGAAGTCCCAAAACATTCCTGGTTTAGTCTTAGGAGGCTATTTTGGTGGCGGTAGACAGTGCTTCGAAAAGGCTTGGTATGTTTTCACCAGCCAGTGTAACCCTAACGCGTTGCTAGGAAACACAAATCATCTCGATGAGACATTCAGAGCTGTTTAGGTGCATTTACACCAATAACTGGTAGTGTGGATACAAAAATACAAGAAATAGTTTCTCTTCAAAAAATCCTCTTGACCTAAAAGTGTAATAATTTGAACAAAGACTCTAGGAAAAACAACCAAAGCAAGAAGTTTTTCATTTAAGATTACTTGATAAGGACAAATTCCGGGCAGTTGGTAAGAAAATCTACTGAGGAAAGCAAAGTTTCATTATTAAACAACGTCAAATTCTCTCATCGCTACTGAATAGAGAGAGTAATTTGTCCTTGAGAAATGAACTTGTCAAGCCAGCAGAACACACGCCATTTTCTGTTTAGTTTCTGTCTTATAATTTTTGTTCAGGCGAGCGGAGGGCGTGTGTGACACTTGTCAAGAACAGCTTAAATGTGTGAGTACAGTTTTACCTATTGAGCATGTGCAGCAACAATTTAAAACTGTTGAGAAATGGTGATTTTTCAAGTCGCAGAGAACTTTTTTAAAATTTTTTTTCTGTATGCGATAAAGAGCTGAATACAAAATGAAAGTTAGCTGTTTCGGTTGTTACCAATTCCAAACACACTGGTTTGTTTACTCAAAGACAAATAAAATGGGTTATTTATGACTTCTGGTTCTTTTCGTGATTTGGTAGCAAGTAAGGATTTTCATACATACACGTACAGAATGGGTTAGCGATGAAATAGATGTCACTAAACTGGATCAACGAAATCATAAAAATAAATTCTGCACGAGGTTGTTTGACTGCTATAAAAATAAATACAACACCAACTTCGACGTAACTCAAGCCTAAAAGTCTTTCGAAAGTTAAGAGACTTCGTTTTCCACTGTCATGCATTTACAAATTTGAGTATTGCGTTGAATCTTCTGTTACCTACTCCTTGTTAATAATACATCGCAACTTTTTCAAATTATTTTTTCTTCGTTGATGCCCGAGTTGAGGGCCTTGTGGATTGCTGGGAAGCTGTTCGTGGAGGTTGGGGCGTCTGTGCCTGTACAGTGGAGGCTTGAGAGGCGGGTCGCTTTGACATGCTAGTGCTGACCGGTCTGTCCGCAGGCGTCTGAGAATCCCCTGCTGATGTTGCACTTGCGCGGGACGCTGACCGTTCAAGGGCTCGGATTTTTTCTAGCGCTTGTTTCAGGTCAGTTTCAGCTTGAATAGCTCGCTCTTCAGCCGCTTGGGCTCTCTCTTCCGTTTCTCTGCGTCATTCAAGAGAAAAAAAGAAGGCAATTGAACACACTTTCCTAGCAGGGATTCGAACAAAACTGAGGCCGAAAATTGGTACAAGTTGAAGAGGCAAGGGCCCGCTTCAATCAATCACGTTCACACAACAACTTTTAATACGGACATAAAGAAAAAGTAAGGAACAGAAAAGCGACCTTTACAAAAAATGCACTAATATATGAGACACCCAGCTAAAAGGGCGTGAAACATGATTTACATAAAGTGCGAAAATAATGGTGTAGAAATGATATGTGTAAAAACAAAAAGAATAACCGTAAATTAATGGTTGCAAATAGATAAATACACATTCGCTACAACACAAGTGATCTTGTTTTAATGTTTATCGAGATATCACACTGATTACGTAAAGTTTCCTACTCCGATCCAGGTAACATCAACAACGCATCTTCGACTTCTTCTAAATCTCATGAGACTACAAGCTATTAGGAAATGAGACGAATCAATAAACCACCAGTGCAATTATTGAGCATTTTTTTGCGCGCGGAAGCGCCTTAGACAACAGATGTGAGTTAGAACAAGACGAGCCACCCTTGTAATAAAGGGACGTTAAGCAATCGGGACGGCACAGACCACTTTCATAAATGGCTGCCGGATTAACATTCTTTTGTTTCAATTTAAATTAGCCCTACTGGCCTCGTTCTCCAGTACAAAATTCAAAAGAATACATTATCTCAAGCGAGGCCAGTAGGGCTAATTTAAATTTAAACAAAAGAATATTTATACGGCAGCCATTTATGAAAGTGGTCTATAAGTTGAAGTTATCTTTTTGTAAGGAATTTTGCCCTTTCCGTCCAGATTACACGAATGCGCGCGCGTTAAAACATGACAAACTCTTACTATAGCAATGTCACATTTTGTGCGTGCGCGCGCGTGGAAGAAGACAAACTGTCAAGTTTTCTGTATGCGCACGCGCGTTGAAGACAAACTGTCAAGTCTTCTGTGTGCGCACGCAGGTCAGAACAGCAACCGTCATTCCAATTATGACGTAATTTGAATGAATAGCCTGATCCAAGTACGGAAAGCAATCCATACGGAATTAAGCCAGGGAAAGTAATGCCGCCAACATTCACTTTCTGTTTATAGGATATGGTTGTTTTGCAGCAAGTTCAAATGAGTTTATTGCCTCAAAATTTTACGTAACGAAAATGCAAATTCACTTTCGCATTTCTCTGAAACTACGCGGATTTACCCACAACAAATCAATCGATCTTGGGTAAACTTTGGGCAAAAATTTCAAAGAATATGCTTCAAAGATTTATACAACGTTCTTTTGAAGGGACCAAGACTAGAAAGGCAAGAGACAAATCCTCATACTTGCAATTAGGTAAGTGACAGACGATTTCAGAATCTTTACAGATATTTCACGGTCTTTTGAAAATGAAGAATGAAGAAAAACAACTTACAGTAGCTGTGCTTGAAGCCTCTCCACAGCAGCAAGGGCATCCAAAGCCTTCTTAGTGTCTGGTGACGGAGAGCGAGCTGAAGGAAACATGACAAAACATCGTTATCCTTGTTGAGTTCATGCTGTTAAAATTTCCTGACGATGTGAAAAAATATTTTCTAAAAATCGTGAGGTTGACAGCAGAGATTTCAAAGAAAACGGCACATTCGTATCTTAAGGCAACAACAACAACAACAAAATGCACTCACCAGGCACTTGTCCTTCGCCTTCTGGAACAGTCAGCAGTTCCAGCTCCTGTCAAAAGACAAAAGGAGAAAATTACATCAAAGATGCTATACTTATGGTCACAGGACTACCAAACTTGCATTGATACATTTTTCGAAGAGGGAAACCTTTGCCATGCCGATAAGGCTTGACGAGGTCGAGACAGCTATTTGTGACCGCTGATTTAATACCGATTCACTTTGTTTTTTTATAGTGGAGACCTTGTTCTTTGATGTCTTAAAATACCCTAGCAGTAGATCTTTTCAGCATCGCTTTTGCCTAACTATTACGAATAAAAATATTGCACTTTCTATTCTTAAGAACACACCGACGAAAAAAAATATAAATAAACCTGGCGATTACCACTGACAAAGAATAAAAATGGTTTCTATAATATGTTTATATCATTATGAACATAGTAAGCATCCTCTGATTTGTCAATTCGGTTTCCAAGCGGATGCTTTATCAGGTTTTAATATAATTTCAGAGCTGAGCAAAGAGTTTCCAGCAATCTGATTGGTCGAGCGGTTCCTTATATGACGCGTTATAAAGCGCTCCACGCGGTTTATATAAAATGTTAAAATAAAATGTTAATAAATGTTACAAAAATGTTATGATTTTATAAATTTCTCTGTTGTTCAGCTCTGAAATTATACTAAAACAATTATTCGCCTCAGGTTCAGTGAATATTGTCGAATAATCCCCTGGACTTCGTCTCGGGGATTACTCGACGATATTCACTTCGCCTTCGGCGAATAATTGTTAAATAGAGCCTGCACGTAAGTAGTTATGTCACAAGCTTTCCGCGTGTTCTCTCAACATCTCGCGTGGCTTTATCACGTTATAGAGCCCGGAAAAATGTGTTCCATTGCTTAAACGTATTCGAGCAAACGTAGCTTGGCTCTGATCACTGCAGTGTTCGACACCTAGAAATGCAAAAACGAATGATTATCAAAATAACATTACTGAAATATTACTGTGTTAAAAAATACCAGGTCTGGATGAAGCTCCCCGAGGGACTTGGTCCTTATATTATCGTCATGTCCAAGGACGTGCATTCGAGATGGGTCCTGTTCTTGGTCTGGCCCTTCGGCGAGAGGAGTTTCATCAGGCTCTTTCGCAGACTCGCCTCCTTCTGTATTTCCCTTGCTGGTGTCTACAGCAGGTACAGTAACGGCAGATGTGTTGGTACTTTCCACGGGTATTTGTTCTTTCGTTGAGTCCTCCTGCACTTCAGGAACAGCTCCAAGTTTGTCAGCGTCTTGTTTTTCTGCTTCTTTTTCAGGTTCTGCTTCTTCAACCTTTTCAGGTTGCTTAGTACCGCCATCTTCAGCCTTGAGGGAAGACCAAATCACATCAGAATGCGTCATTTATTATGGAGCTTCAAAGATCGTCCCTCGCATCGAGTTGTCTGTGGGTCAATAGTCGAGCTTCGCACCGTAAATTCCGAAAGTCTCATACTTTCCAAGCGCGACGAAAAAAAAAAATTCTCCCTCGAGCTAAAACTATTGTTGCACCGAGATACCCCAAACGTGCTGTTATTTACCCATACGAAAAGCCTGAGGGCAAAACGAGCGGTGAAGTTTCATAATCATATCATACGATCACAAAAAAAAAACAAAACAAAAAAAGAAAGCGTGAGAGAAGAGACAAGATTCTATTGCGCTAAAACATGACAACGTCAAAGCAAAAACATGAATTTCATTTGAATGTTACCTCAGTTTCAGTGGCTTTAGAATCCGTAGACGCCGCTCTACCAGCCTCTTTCTTCGTGTTAGCAGAAACATCCTCAAAGACAAAGTCCTCGCCCATGACATCCTGGATGAGCAGCCGAGCAGTTCGTATCCAACCTTCACATTCCACACTCAGCCGTTTGAGATCTTTAAAGTCCATATCAGCGTGTTCATCGCGTTGATCTCGCCTTTCCTGCAAAATAAATTATGGGGACCTTTTTAGCTCATTGGATCTAGAACTGGAACTGGAAACTTGCTAAAGCAAGCTCCAGTTCGAGTTCCAGTTCCATAAGCTACTCCAATTTGCAATCGAGTTACTCCGGAATGGCATTGGTGAATTGTCGTTCAATCAATGCGTCGAAAGCAGAGACAAGGCGACGGAGACGTGAACGAGGTAAAACAAAAAATAATGATGAACAAATCAATAGCTCTAAACTTGCGATTTTCAAAAAGAAACCTACAAGAGAACAAATAAAGTCCTCGATTGGCAGCCGGTGTAAAATGTGTGTGCAATTCAACATCGAGCTCTATTTAGTTTTTAGTCACCATTAACGAGAAATTGGCTCAACTAACAGGGTGCTCACTTGAGTACATTCGCGCGCATTTACTTACCTGCATCAGATCAATCACTAGATCAGAGCAGCATTTTGTCAAAAGACCAGAAAACTTTCTTAATTCTTCAAACAGCCTCTGTGCTCGATTGCATATTTCGTCAGGAATGGCTTGAAGCAGGATTTCTCCTCCTCCAAGTGAGGCATCCGCTTCTTGATCATCTGTCTGTTTGTTGATCTCTTCCAGTTCTTTGTCCTCCATATCTGGGGTCAGCCGGAGGAGTACCGTAATCATCCACCCAATCATAGCACTGTGAATCTCAGTAACCTAGTAACAACGGACAGAGCTGAGTAACGTGCACGCATGCGCTAGATTTTGCCGCAGAAACACGGATTTTGAGTGTTTCGCAT